ACAAGAATGGTTACTATTGAAATATTTTTTGTTGTTCCTTCTGTTAGAACAATTAATCAGTGGAACAACTTGCCTCTAGAAATTGTGGGTGCTCCAACACCGGATGTTTTTAAGAAGAGATTGGACATCTATTTGTCTGAAATAGTGTAGAATTTCCTGCCTGAGCAGGGATTTGGATTAGATAATTTCCAAAGTCCCTTCAACTTGGTTGTTCTGTTGATCTCCACCCTTCTCCATGGAAAATTACCTTCTAATGACTCAAAACCATGACAAGATAAAATCAAATACCCACATCTTCATACTATTCAGGTTTATTGTTTTTCTAGTTTGATGCCCTCCATAACTACCCAGAAATAAACACTACTGAAGTCAATGTGCTTCATATTTTTTCTCAGTTTATTTTAATATGACTGTTTTCAGCTTTGTCACTGTTTGGAGAGGAAAAGGGAATGAAGAAAGGGACATTAAGTCTCTAAGCCTTTTCCGTCAAAGAAAGAAGACCCTGGAGGAGAATATTATCATTTGTATTTTTTATTTGACTGAGGCAGAAAGGGGCAAGAGAGAAACTTTGCAAGAGAATAGGAGGTAGATGAAGTGCTAGTTTCCTTTCCCCAAGCCCTGGGAAGACTACCTGCTGCTGACTCTCTCTTCTCTTCTTTAGAATTACTGTTCTCTCATTTGTGGAATTCCAAAATATTATAATTATCTCTGCAGGACTACTTTTGCACATATGATTTTAAAAGATTTTACTTTTAAGGCAATTAATTAACAGAATGGTGTTAATGTTCATTCCTTTCTTTTTCTCCTTAAGTCAGCAGAAAGATATGCAATTATAATTTGTACTCCCCTAGAGTATAATTTGTACTCTAACCTGTTTCAGTGATGAGGCTGATGAGCAGTCTTATTCTTACAGCTTTACTAGGGAGCAATTTACAGAAAATGATTGGTGGATCTCTCTGGCTTCATTTCCTAAATTCACCCAGCCAGAAAAATAATTCTCCTTAACATGTGGTTAAACCAATGATGGCAAACCTTAAGAGACCGAGTGCTCAAACTGCAACCCAAAACCCACTTATTTATGGAAAAGTGCCAACACAGCAATTTAACCTGAATAATGAGGTTTTACTACCTAAGGTAATAAACCATCACAGGAGTAACCATTAGGAGCAGGTGCCTGGATTTAGTCATTTTTCAGACTTCCTGAAGGAGAGGTTGCTAGCATGAAGATGTTCTGCAGCAGTAACTTGTCACTTGTGCCTTTGCTAAAACAGCCTTGAAGCTGTTGGGGTCGTGGAATCATGAAGAATGAAGCAAGAGGCGCTTGCAAGGCACACCAAGAGATTTCTCTCCTGCTGTTTTACCCTGGCTTCTATCTCTCAAGTGAACCCTATCTTTCATCAGATTGGATACAGAGGATTGATGGGCAAATTGATAGAACTCTTGTCAATTTTACCCAGCTTCCAAATATCCCAAATCTATTAATGTGATTGTGACTAGTAGAAACCCAACATTATCCTATGGGAAAACCCAAAATGGTGTTTAAAGAACCCCAAATGTTCTCCTCTTGTAGAAATACAAAAACTAGAAAGCCAGCTACAAGAAACCTCTTGTCAGTGGAAGCAGTGGAAAGCATGTACAATTAGTTGAGAAGAAACCAGCCATCCGTTGTTGACAGAACCCAACCTCTTTCCCATTTTAATCGAACTTTCCATGTGACAACTCAAGTTGCTATTTAAAACACAGATGCAATGTTGTTTCAAAACACTGCTTAACATTGCTAAAAATTGATCTAATGGTTTTCTAGAAGAATTTTTCCACAAGGAGCTCACATAATGCTGAAGTGGTGGTTTGAAAAGGCCAGGCAGGCATCATGTAGGCCAGAGATCTTCAAACTTGAAAGCTTTAAAACTTGTGGACTTCAACTCCCAGAATTCCTCTTCTAGTCATGTTAGCTCAGGAATTCCTGAGCTAACATGACTAGAAGAGGAATTCTGGGAGTTGAAGAGTCTTAAACTCTTCAAGTCCACAAGTCTTAAACTTGCCAAGTTTGAAGACCCTTGATGTAGGCAGATGAACCTGCAGAAGCCAGAGATCTGAATGTTTCAGCAGTCCAAGTCAAAAATGAATATTGTATGCATAATGCAACATTGTGCTTAGCAACTTATGAGGTTTGCAGTGGTGGAAACCCCCAGTAAGAACATACATGCAATATTCTGTCACATCATCACCCATATTGTTAACAAGGCATCGCAGAATGCATGTACAGCAAGTCTTGTAGGATCACAACAGAAAAAAAAAATCATAAAACTAGAAAAGGTAAATATGGTGGACTGAGGAACAAGGCAAAGGCTCTACCATGAGATGAGTCCCTTAAAAGGTCAATAGGGCATTTTCATGCTGTAATTACTAGGGCTGAATCAGAGGTGGTATTCAGCAGGTTCTGACCAGTTCTGGAGAACCAGTAGCGGAAATTTTGAGTAGTTCGGAGAACCGGTAGCGGAAATTTTGAGTAGTTTGGAATACTACCTCTGACTGGCCCCGCCCCCATCTATTCCTGCCTCCTGAGTCCCAGCTAGCTGGCTAGGTCTTCTTTTGTTGCTGTGCACAGGAGAATGGAGCTAAAAAGCAGGTTAGTGGGGTGGGGACTCGGAAGGGAATGGGGATTTTACAGTATCCTTCCCCTGCCACGCCCACCAAGCCACGCCCACAGAACTGGTAGTAAAAATGTTTGAATCCCATCATTGGGGCTGAATCACTTTTTATCTATAAGTAACAAGTTATAAAACCCTGTCTTGAAGACCAATGTGGAAAATATGACAATTGAAATAAAGAGCTAAAGCATTTGGAGATATTATAACAAAGTGAAGTTTATTGATATGCATAAACTTACAGGTTGCTGAGTTTTTGGCCAAAAAAATGTCAGAGTCCCCAGGTCTACAGGGTTATAGATTATAAGCCTTTATAAAAATTTATTATACAATATTCATACAAAGAATGCTACATCAGATTAGGTGAGGGAGCTGGTGACTTCAAATGTTTATACTTCCAAACATGTCTTTCCCTCTGCTCTTCTGTTCTGATACTAGCACTAGTTGTCATAAACAATTGTTGTTTTTATGTTCATCAAGTGACTCTTTTTTGCACTGCTAGAAAAGACTGGTTTATCCCAAAGGTAGCTTTCTTTCAGAAGGCAACTGAAGTTTCTTTTTTGCGCTACAGAATATTTTGCTTCTTCAGTTCTGACTGAATGGTGGAGAGTGGAAGGATTTATGCTCCTAGCACTGGCAGTCATCTGGTCCTTTCTTTCTGGTCATCTGGTCTTAAAAGCCACTCTCTTAGAAAGAGTGCTAAGGAGCAGATGACCACAAGGAATGGTACCTGTTCTTTGAGAAGGGTATCATGTGGACTTGCAGGAATTTTAGAGCAAGGATGTAAGACCTGTGAAAATATCTAAGAACATATATGAGCAAAATAAAGATTTTTTAAAAAACAAAATGGAGTTTCTCTGATTCAACTAGCTATATCAGAGTTGCAATTTGAAGGATATGGACCTGAGAAATGATTCGCAAGCAAGGATAGGCATGGGGAAGTAATTAATTATAGCCCTTTCCTTTTGGTATCTTATGCCTTTCATTTGTATGAATTATATATTCTATTTCTTTTCTGCATTTTACTTTGAAACTGTTGAAAGGTGTCAAAATGCCTTTCTTTCGAGGATTCAGTTTTCCCGCTGGGAGAGCTCCGGCGCAAGGATACAGACAACTGCTTGAAAGCAGGATCTTTTTATTTTTCAGGAAGGCGGGGGACAGCGAGAAGTCTGCGTTCCTGGGCTAGCTAGCTTCTTATGGTAAGTCCCTGGTTTTTTATACCCTTTTCTCCCTCTGCAAGTTGATTTTGTGTGAATGTTTGTATTTGTGCTTAATGTTTCGAATCCTGTTTGAGTTTGTCTTTATTCCCGCCGGAGGGCAAACTCCGCGGGGTGGCTAGATTGTATTATTGGTTTTCTCTAATCTCTTTTAGTTTTAAGATAGTTTTTCATATTTGTTCTGTGGCAATCTCCTGTCTGTCCCTTTTGTAATTTATATTTTGTGTCTTTTGTCTTGCTTATTTGGTATGTCCTGTGTTTGTAAGGGTTTTCTAAATTATCTTTTTGTTTCCTTTTCTTATTTGTCTAGTTTTCTTAATTACTTAGGCTTTTGTCTATACGGATTTTTAATGCCTTTTTTATTTGATTCCTTTTCCTATGTAAGTTTGTTTTATGGCTGACCTGATGTTCCCCTTGGGCTTTTCCTGTTTTTGTGACACTACTGTTTTCGTGAAGTTCCCTTTCCACAAAAGGTAATACTGTGACGGGTATGGATGCGATATACACTACTAGATGGTGACAGAGATGCAGAAAATGAATCCTTTGCTTCCATGCAATGACTGTCCGGAGTTTTGCAATGCAAATATCCTAACTCTACAGCGGCTAAATAAACAATGTGATCAGAGTGCCATGAAATGCAAAAAGACTGTCTTTCACAAAACATATCTTGGAATAGATATATATTTTTAAATTGCATTTTAACAAGCCCCTCTATTTTTAAGACAAGAGATGCGCGGGACAGAGACCAGTTGTCAAATTGTCTAATTCGACTCTCGCAGGTAGCAAGCCACAACGCAGCTGACAGACACAAAGGCTTCCCAACCGAAAGAGCGCCGGTTCATTGGCTTTACCAGCGGATTAAACCATCTCCTTTCCGGGTAATAATAAGAACCCTTGAATCAACACCCCCCTCCCCGTTCATGGTAGTAACCTGAGCGGACCATTGAGCGGACGCAATTTCCGGCTTTCTCCCGGAAACTTCACTTGACGGCTTTATAGTACGTTCTTCTATTCTTCTTCCTTCTCCCGGCTTCTCCCAAGGTACACCGTTATGGTCAGAGGGGCGAATCGCTTAAAGCCTTTCTCGCGAGAAAAGAGGAAGCCCCCTCTCCCGCCCCGCCCTCCTTTTTGGAACGTCGCTCGCAGCGGGTGGAGGGTCGCTGGTGTCCGCGCGATGCCTTCTCCCCCACCCTGCGCGTGGCAGCCCCGCGCGCATCAGCTGGCAGGGTTGGGGGCGGGGGGCAGAACAATGCTTCCCCTTCCAAGCCCGCGCGCTGGGGAGGCTGCCGGCGTTCCTTCCGCTCCTCTCTGGAAGGCTCCACCCTTGTGACAGGAGCCTTGGGGCTGAGTCGGAGGTGGGGGGAGGGAAACCCTTCGTAGGAGCGTCGGGTTTAAAATGAATCTCAATCTGGGGTCCTCCAGATGCAATTCCTAAGGTTGAGCGGGCTGACTGGGCATTATGGGGATTGTAGTAGATTGCTGTGTAAGGCAACATATCGGGAGGGCACAAGGTTGGGACATGAGTGTATATATCAGTGGCCAAACAGGTTCCAGGGTAAATGTTTAATTCCCATTAAAAAGGGTGGGTGATTGTGTTGAGTGTATTAATAAGTTTGGGAGAGGTGTGCCAGTTGTTTTATTATTGTACAGTAATTTGTCACTAAAATTATAGTGAAAGAGGGACTATAATACTCTGCTTAATTTGTGATGAATTCTATTGTCATTTATCTCATTCAGCAACAAATTTATCTGCCCTTCATCCCTGTTGGACCCCAGGTGGGCACTTCAGATTTGGCAGTGGCACCATTCTGAGGTATTTGTATATGCTTCACGTATTTTTCAGGGTATAAAGAGCAACTTCCATGGAAATTAAAGTTTTGCAGATGTCATTTTTTTCCCTCCAGATAATTGATAACGGATTCCTCTTCTTTTGCTATTCTCAAATGTGCCATGAAAGTTATTCCCAGTTTTATAGCTTTCAAAATTATAAGATGACAGACATATCAGTAGATAATATTGGCCTTTTAGAGGGGATTAATCTGATACACCTGAAATATACTTTGCATAGGATATGATTTCACAGGCGCCTCTTTTCCAATTACACAACTTCTTCTTGTGGTCAAGGGCATTGATAAATAGGAGTAAATGGCCCTGTACTTGTATCATTATATATGAGAAAGTGCTGTCCTGATTTAATCCTATCTTTAACTTCTATTTTCATTCTTTATATTTTTATGTTTGGGGGTTTTCATTTTTGTTGTTTTTATGGAATTTTATAATAGGAAAGATTTATCTGTGTTCTGTGTAAGCCTCCAAGAGTCTTTTCATTGCAGTGGGAGAACAGTGTTATTAATAGTTAAATGTCATACCAGAAGAACTGGGGATGTTAGCTAAATATTTATTCAAAAAGGATCTAAAAAAACTATTTCTGACTTACACATTTTCCTGAAAATATTAATTATAATGTGCACAAACAAGTTGTCAGGAAGCACACTTTTATTTTCAAGTTATATATAAAGCATTTTCTTTGTTACTCATAAACTTAAAGTAAGAATTAGTGTTCAGTACAGAGAGAACAACCCAAATATTACTTATATTTTATCCTTGGCCAGAAGGTATTTAGTATTCACTTTGGAAACCATGAAAGCAAATACAAACTTTTTTTTTTTTTTTGCAGATACTGATGGTGACTCTTCAGAAACAAATCTGTGAAACATTTTGTTTGAACCAAAGGTAGAACAATCAGTAGCAGAGAGTAAGAATATCAGTTTAATAAACATTTCAATTTAACTTCAATATCTCAGGCTTTTGTAAACCAGACAGAATTCATGGGCAACAGGACATATAAAAGAGACAGCTTTGAATATATATATTCAGCCAGAATATATATAACCAGAATTGTCTGGTTTATAAGAGCTTGAGATATTGGAGTTAAATAAAAGAGACTAAACTATATGTGATCCATGACTGAATTTCCTTGCTATTTTAAAAGACGTAGCTACAATAGGTTTTTTTTTTATTTCTGTAGTTAGTTTCCTTTTCTCATGCCATTTCCTTTTGAAATTAATGCTTCATAACAATGATTTTGATTGCCAAAATATTTTTATACAAGTAGTCCTCAACCTATGACTGGCTGTGTAATGACAAAGTCATGATGGACTTCAAAAATGTTACTTATGACCCAGCCTTGAAGTTACGACTGCCATCCATGGTCATATTATCACATTTGGGCGCTTGGCAGCCGACACGCATTTATGACCAGTATCAATGTCCTTGCAGTCATGTGACCGTGGTTTGCAATGTTTTTTTCTGGTTTGGAAAATGACAATAAATGCCTATTGGATATTCTGGATTTGCTTAACAACCACAACCACATGGTTCACTTAACAGATACAGTGACTTGTTTCTTGGCTATAACTATAGTGACTTGCTTCTTGGCTATAACTTCAGGTCTGTAAGTCCCTTTATTCAGCACCTTCCTAACTTTGAATGGTTGCTGATCGAATAATTATAAGTTGAAGACTATCTGTATATGCGGCTTGAGGAAAGCTGCTTAAAAAACAGTGGAAACAGAATAAGAAGACGCTTTGTTTTCAAAATCTGTTTACACATTGCAAACATCAAATTGTCTGGCCTAGTGGATCACAAAACTCCACTTTGTCCAGGATCAGTCACAATTGGAAATTTTATTGGTTGCTTCGGTGTAATTTTTATTGTACAAAGAAGCTGTTTATTGTACAAAGAAGCTGTTTATTAAACCATAATAAGGTTTGGAAAGATGCTGCAATGACACTAAAGGACTTACACGTATCAATGAGGAAAATAATAGAAAGTAACAAGAAGCTGAAAAATGTATTCTGATTTCTGCTGAAAAACCAAGAGTTGTTGTCTGACTTATAAGCTTTGTTTGTGTGTCAGTGAGAAGTAATAATGAATCAAAAATCTCTCTTACTTGTTAGGATGTTCTTTGAAGCCATAATTTTCAAAAGGGAGATAAAGATGTATTTATTTTGAACAGGAAAGTTATATTTAATGCCAATAGTTTTGTACATTTACAATTGTGCAATAATCGGAAATTCAGTAAAAAAGATATTGAATTTGTTTTGCTCTAAAAATAAAAGGATTCTGCACAAGAGAAGATTAATTAAATATTTTTTAAAAAATTACGTTGAAAACGAAGGACATATTATATATACAGATATTTATCCTAATAGTTTTGGTAAAGTAGTGGTTAGCATACTGTATTCCCGAACAACTGGTTTTATTTCTGCTTTTTTACCCTTAGGATGAGGTTGTCAAGGTTGTAGTGTAGATTGAGCAAAAAGCCGAAAACCTCCTGCTGCACAGGAATGTTGCGAATTCTTAAACTGATCCTATTTGCTCAGTTAACAGGCTGGTAGATTAAGATGGAAAAATTCAAATGGAATTATTGTACAAAATCCCCTTCCTGTCCTTCAGCCATTATATTTCTTGTCTAGCCACCATACAATCTATAAAGCTGCATAAACTATTACTGGGTAGTTATTGAGTATTCTTCCCAAAACATACAGTAACTTGAAGCAGAGCTTATTTAGAATATTTTAATTCACCGTAGTGTCTTTTCACTTCTTCCTGTTACATAGTTTTTGTAAGGTTTATATTTTTTTTCCTTGCTCATCTTTGGTCACACAAAGAATGCTGTACAATATTCCCATTAATAGTGATAGGTGCTGCAGAGATTATATTTAACGATGTCTGTCTTGCTTTTTGAGGAGGTTTAAAGAATTAATTAAAGATGGCTAAATTATGAATGAAATCAGGCCTGCAATCGTCCTAATTTAAAGCAGGAGGCTCGATCTGATGATGTTGGAGGGGAAGGAAAGAGATCACTGAAACTTGTTTGTCATCTTTCCCTTGTGCGAATGGAGACAATGTTAGTCATAAATTAGTAAAGGTGTGATAAAAAATATATAAGTAAATAAGATATTGTGTTAGAAGGTGATAGGCTTGGAGTTTTTGCAGGAATGTAGAATTTAGAAGAATTGGGTCACATCGTAATAAGCTCAGATGCTACATTCTGACTGTAAAGATCAAGTCGTGATTTACAATATTTTTTTATCATTTCTACTATAGATGTACCAAAACTGTATAATCTGTAATGTTGCATTGTTTGAGACTCTACTGCAGTGCTTTGGCAAAGAGCCCAAGGGGTTATTATAATTCATGTGTTCCAATAAAGTATACTTCCTTGCATCTATTTCCAGTTGTTTTGGTCCCTCTTTTAGGGTGAATAATGCAGTAGTTTGTATGATATATTTACCTACATATACAATACTTATAAAAACGTGTGTAGCCCTATTGGACAGAACCCTCTGTTATTGGTCTAGCACTTATATGTAAAGTTACCCTTCACATTAATATGCAAAACTGGGGAAAGGATGAGTAATTATTAGGCTGTCCTCCAATATAATTTTTGCCTGTGGATATGGCTTCCCTAAACTGAAAATTATCCTGCAACCAAATATGGTTGGATGATGATATGAAATTGCTAATCATCATCTTTTTCTCTTAATTCCAAAGGAATTGATGAACCCTCCCAAAAAATGGAGACCTTCAGGGACAAGACTGTAGATGAATTGAAAGAACTGCAGGAAAATTCAGAAGAGATTGAACGGTTGGCATTGGAGTCGGATGAGGTAATCATTCATGTACATGAAAGTTATTGAAGAGAGAAACCATTTTTTAAAATGAGTTCTACCTGCCTAACATTTCATTTCTCAGGTCCAAAATGTACAGTTGCAAAGGGAGATGGCTCTGGCCACAAATCGTAGTCTTGCGGAGCAAAACCTGAAGTTCCAAGAACCCCTGGAAACAGGACGTGCAAACCTCTCTGACAGATATCAAGATCTGCAGAAACTGATAGAGCGATGCGAGGAGCAGAAGTCAAAGCTGGGTAAATTTTCAGATGACTGTGGCTGATGGGGATAGAGGTGGAATAAAATTAGCCAATAGGCTTTCTCTAGCCAAGATTTTGTACGTGTGTGCATTTCCTTCATTTTGATCTTGGGATGTGGAATGGCAACAGGATATGGTTGGCATCTTCTCATCTGGATGCATTTGTTGATACCCCCAGTGGTCAAGCCTGCACGGCATTATAGTGTCAGTGACCTGGTTAGTCAAACACAGCACTTGTAATAGAGTTTTGGTTTTAATTGATCACCTTCCCTTCTTCCTTCTTAGTGATGGTTTCAGATTCCATGGCACTAGCTCTTAAAGCAACATAATTCTTTTAGAAGCTGTTAGCCTTCATGTACAGTATATGTACAGGACCAGGTGCTTGCATTGAAATGAAAAAGAGAGAGATATTTTTGTTTAATTTTTAGGTGTCTATTTTTTTTTCTCAGAGCAATTCTCAGCAGCAACAAAGCCTGATACCCTGTTAAATCTTCTGAAGGTGGAAGGACTCAAAATTGAAGAAGAATCTGAGGTTAGTCTGTTATTTAAATTCCAGAGGGAATAAATGATTTTAATTGTTTTTATTGTCAGAAATTGAACTTTAAAAGTCAGTCTTTCCCACATTTTGTCCTTGTTATATAACACAAACATATACCTGTGATCTTTATATGGCCCTTAAATACATCCCTTATTTACCCTTGAAATTGGTATCAGTTGCATCTGAAAATTCCACTGAGCTAGTGATAAAAGAAATTGAGTATATTTCCTCATCATCTTCCTCCTCCTTGGATCTGGTAGGTATTTTGCTTGTAATAAATCAGTATTTTTTACCAGCTTTTGATCCTTCACTATGTGCATAGCCTCCAACTAGTTTTCAAGTAAATTCAGTGAAGGCATCAAAAGGAAGTGTTTAATAGTCTGTTATCTCATTGTTTCATCTATTTTGAGGGATTGTTTCACCTAAGCGATTAGCCTTGGAAGGTTAATTGAGGTTAGTCACCTAAGCATGAATGGAGCACAGATTAAAATATAGCAGGAAATATGTTCTCTGCATTATTTAGGAATGAAAGGAAATTGACAGAACTTGCACCTTTTACTCAAATCTTCATGTGTTTAACTTAGGTCTCAAGCTTCTTCATTTCACTTTCTCTATTGGAGAAGAATAACCATTAGTTTTCTCCTTGCATTATCCTACCATTTTTAGGGGTTTTTGAATATCTTGGGTATGGAAGTCTTTATTGCCAGGGAATTAGAATGCAGTAGTCCTTGGCTTCTGATGGTAATTGGGAGTAGCATTTCTGTTGCTAAGCAATGCCACATCGTTTAGCTTGGGAGACAAGCAACTTGGGACCTTCTCTGCTGGCTTCCCCATTAGCTTTGCTTATGAGAGCCTGCAGGGAAGGCCACAAAGGGTGATCATGTGACTGTAGGATTTTGCCACCTTCTGGTTGCCAGGCGCCCAGATCATAACCACATGGCCATGAGGATGCTGGGACATTGAAGCCTAGTTGCAAGTACCACTTCTTGCAACTTTGAATGGTCACCAAATAAGTGGCTGTTAACTGAGGATTATCTGTCTGTTCCCTTTGATGCAGATGGAAGCATTGTTTTAATATATATATATTTCATTCCAGATGATGGCTGAAAAGTTCCTGGAGGGGGAGGTGCCTTTGGAGACATTTCTTGAGCAGTTTTCTACCATGAGGAAGTTATCTCATCTACGACGTGTAAAAGTGGAAAAACTTCAAGAAGTGTTGCAAAAATCTCAGTCCTTGCCAGAGCCAGCAGACAACCAGTCTCCTTCCCACATATCTTCTGGACCTATAAATCAGCAGCCACAGAAGCGTTCAGCTGGGGAACCAGCCTTTCCTTTACCTTATGGTCTATCTCCTTGTGTTCCAACAGGCCCTTCAGCTTATGGGGCTCTACAGCCAGGCCCCTTTGGAGGAACACCAGTTGCAGTGGGACATAGTGCCTCCTCTCAACCAAGTGCTCAGCCCCCATTTCCATATAAACCACCCTCAGGTCCTGGATACCCATCTGTTCCTTCAAGTAATCCAGTACCCCAGCCTCAGGCAGGGGATCTGGCTTCATCCGGGTACTCTTGGTCTCCATCCAGAACATCGTCTTCTGGTCCAGGGTATCCACAGCCTTCTTTCAGGGCTCCATCAGCAGCACCAGGATTTCCTCAGCCTATGCAGCCTCCCTATTTTCCATCAGGAGGAAGACCACAATGTCCTTACCCAACTCAACCTGCAGCGGCTGGCTTCCCTGTTCCCTCCCAGCCTCCATATCCTCCATCTTTTGGGTATCCGCCACCACATCTCCCCCCTCGGGGCCATACTTATTAGACCAGCTTTCCAGGCAGTATTTTACATGGTAGCTGATGAAATGATGTCTTGTTAGCTAATGAGCCCCAAGATGAAAATTGGGGAGGGTCATCCTGAGAAACATATACATAAGCATTACGCTGATGTAATAAATGATGGAATAATACTGTTAAGAGCTGCAAAGGAAGGTCGTCGCTTATGGTTCTGTTTGTAAGTTATAGTGATGGTAGGCAGCCTTAATGGAATCAGTATTGACCAAACATTCAGTTCAAGCCATAGTATACAGTACATACAAAGACCCAGAGCTCTTATCATGGCACTGTGCTTGCTAAGCTCTTTAAGGAAGACTTAATTGACAGCAACCTGGATCTGGTTTTGTGTAGGGGAGTGTGTGTGCGTATGTGTGTAGTTTTCTAATTTAGTATATTAGAATATATTAAAAAGTTCTATATACCTATATTCTTACAAAGAATCTGATGGAGAAATCAGTTAAGCCTTTCTAATGTAGAACATGCTTTCTAAAGAAGTCTAAAGTTTCTCTTGGCATTAGGAAGTACCTCCTTGACAATAATAGTATGTTTGCTAACTCCACAAAGAAAGAAAGAAAAAAAGAAAAAGAAAGAAAGAAAGAAGAAAGAAAGAAAGAAAAAGAAAGAAAGAAAGAAAGAAGAAAGAAAGAAAGAAAGAAAGAGAAGAAGAAAGAAAGAAAGAAAGAAAGAGAAAGAAAGAAAGAAAAAGAAAGAAAGAAAGAAAAAGAGTCTTCACCTACTCGTAGCTACTGCAGATTACCAAACAATTGCTGCTGGGTGTCCCCATATGGAAGCTTTGGAGAACCCTTGTCAGCCTAAGGGAGCATGTTTCTTCATAGAACTGCGTTAACAGCAATGGATGAGGTCAGCACCAAAGGCCAAAAGTATTCTGCTCTGTTATGCTCACCGTCCACCCATTTTGCAATTTGTGGCGAGAGCTTCCACAAAGTCCACAAGTGCTCCTCATCCCATGCTGCAATTTTTTTTTAAAAGAAATCTGCCATTGTTTGGATTCTCCTCTTTCTTCCGTAACACTTAAGTAACTTGCACTTTCTTGATTTCATAACATCAAGCAAGACTTACCATGACTTCTTCAGACCATATACTACCCTTTGAACAATTGCTGTATGATTTTGTTTGACCTAAGGAACTTGTGATCTTGGCATTGCTTGGCAGTTGACTAGCATTATAGACTAAATAGAGAGCCAAATCACTATGCATTTTTTTATATTGGGGAATAAATGAAGTATTGTCCTACCTACATTACTGAGTGTGACAACCTTCTCAGGAATTTGGATTTGTAGCTTCCATCATATCCAGATCCTTTTCTTTAATAATCTTTTAATTTTACAGAAAATGTAGGAAACAGGCATTTCCTTTTTGCTCATTGTTCCACTTTGGTTGAGAAGAAGAAACACTGGGTATCAATTAATAGAATGCAGGAGTTGTAATGGAAAACAAAATAGTTTTGCTAAGCACTTTATCCTCTTGCTTGTCTGTAATTTATTTTTAAAAAATAGATTTGACTAACTTTCAGACTTGATGGAAGCAATTGCATATATGTAATTATGGTAATAAAATTTGATGAACTGCATAGAATTGTGTGGCTGTGAATTTTGGAAATGAGATTGTAGCTAATATATACTTGAAATTTTTACAACATGCTCTCTGAATTATATTGTATCAATAAGTCTCTTCATTTTCATCTCATAGGTTCATAACTTTTGCACTAGCTGACCTTTAGTTTGCTTAAAGATATATTTTTGTGACAATATCCCCCTATAGACCAATAGATTTAACTCATCTCCAATTCTTTTAACATTGAAGCATCTCTATTCTCTAAATTTTAATTTTCATGATTCATTTCTTCCTCCTTTATTATTCTTTTAGTGACTCCATTCTCTATATTATTTCCAGTATACGTTACTGCCTAGCCAATAATAATTTAAATTATCATTTAGCTTTTCTCAATGTTGATCTAACATGTAATAACTTCTTATATCTATATATTTAAGCAACTTCATATCAAGTGTACAAAGGAGTAAGAATTGGGGAAAAAGGTAAAGATAGGAGATAGAAAAGAAAAACGCTGTAATTTACACAAACACCGCTCACTAGACTTTTCCAAATCTTTGTATCCTTGCATCTTTGGTTCCACTGTTTCATTTCATCTCTTCATATGTAGCCTTTTGCTTTTTATATTACATTTTCTCACATCTGTTTATTTAGACCACCAGTTTCCCTTCCTCTTCAGCCTCTCATTTTTTATTCGTATATTTGAGATTTGATTCTCATTCTCCATAAATAACCATACCACACAAATAACCAAATCATTTCATGATACTTTTGCATTCAGTGCATATTCATTAAATATTCCTGAATATTTACCCTATCTTCCTTTGCTGATACATTAAGTATTGTACCCCATTCCAGCTGCAGCCAAGTTCTTATGTTTCTCCTAACTTATCCACCTCATCTCTGTATAACAAATTGAGCAGAAGCACATTGTTATATATAACAATCTCACACCAGAACATTTGGGGGCCACTGTCTTTCTGTTAGCATCTATCCTAAAATTTCTCCATTTTCCCATATTTAGTAAGCATTTGACCAAAGTACACATTGATTTGCTAGGTTTTTTTCCATTTACAGTATGTGTAGCTGGCAGTCATCCACTCCATTTCCCTATCAAAGACAATCATCTTAATCTTTTGTACATTATTTTTCAGAACCAAGACCATTGTGGCAGCAAACATTGACCGCAAACCATTCAGCTGTTCAGTCAACAAATAACATTGATGACATGCCAAACATCCCCCTCCCCTTATTCCCAACTGATTCACCTATTAAAGTCACCACAAACATTCCATAAATATAAACACATGAAGCAATTGTATCCTTCCCAATATTTTTATCATAATTTGTGACTCCCACATTTCGACTTTCCTTGGGAATGCAAGAAGATTCTATAACTTCATCTCGCGTCAACTTAATTGGTATAGTTCCAAGTTTAATGTTTTCTTCCCTAGTAAAAAAAAGGAAGATCTTAACTAATTGGTTGATCAAACTAGAAGAAGATTTTGCAATATCAAAAGTCTGAGAGTAGTATATCTTGCCATTTAGTTATTTGTGGGCTAGAATTTGTACCCTCATAAATCAGCAATAAACAAAATATGTGAGTCCTACATCACCTATGAAGGCATTTTTAACTATGATATACTGGACTTTTCTTTGGGTTCTTTACGGAATGCATCATAAGTATATCAATTTGTCATTTACTTTATATGTGTTTGTATATTTTTTTCTCTTTTTGCAGAAGGAGGGGAAATATAGTGAAGTCCAAAAGTCCTTAGATTTTGTTTCTTTACAGCACTTTTCTAGAGGAGAAGTCGCAGATTTCATTACACTTCTAGAGAAGGCCATTATGTTTCCATTACTTTGAGGAAAGTAACATTTCTCATCTTAGTTACATGATGGTTTACATTATTATAATAGACTTTACATTTGCAAAATGCTTTGTTCAAGATCCCAAAGGTGCTTTTTCAAGAAGGAACTGGACTTTCTTGTTTTTCTTTTAAGGCATTTCGCTTCTTATCCAAGAAGCTTCTTCAGTTCCATTTTAACCAGAGATTTTTACTTTGAATTACTTTATTTTTTATTATTGTTTTCTGGGAATTTAAGTATTGTATCATCATTAGCTACATTAAGCAAACCATGGGCAAAATCTTTTCCACTAAAGCTGATAATGATTAATTGACTTAGTCACCACCTGACTTTCCATACCACTTTGGATGACTCATAATATAGCAAGACAGACTTTAAAAATAACACTGTACAAAATAAGTAGCCAGATGTTTCATATTGTTTATTTAATCCAACTAATCTAAAAATGCAGGCTACAAAGGATATTTATTCATCCTAATTCAAGGCCTGGTTGAACAGCTAGGTTGTCAGCTACCACCTCAAGCTTGCACTTCACCATCATTTGGTATCAGCTGCTATGAACTCTGGGGGAGGGGGGAGCAGATGGGAAGGGATATGCTTTGAGGGAAATGAAACTTCACTGTACCTCTCCAAGATGGGCTTCAAGGACAATCGGCTGGGAATGGAATGCAGCTGCCTACCAAACCTACACCTGAAGTGACTGTTCTAAAAACATCTTGTTTAAATTTGTTTGGATATGGGCACCCAGTGATGGGAAGGAAAAATTAGACTTGGGGATTTTGGCACACAATTTTCAATTCTGGCTATGGATTACTGTAATTTATTTGACTTCTAGTAAACTATACCTTTCTCAATCAATGGGGAGAATTAAGGAACATTCTTATTTAGAGGTTCAAGCTGAGGCAGGTCAGACACAGCCTTAAAAGCCTCCAAGAGTGCCAGTGGAGTAGAACCATACAGATTTCAGATGCTGTTGCAGAGAAGGTGCCACTCTTTAGTAGGCAAGTACTAACCCATTCAAGTGTCTATGGAGATTCTCAGTCATCCAGGTCATGGTTGTCCCGAAGATGCTTTTTCAAGAGGCAACTGGACTTTATGGTTTTTCTTTGAAAGTGTTTTGCTTCTCACCCAAGAAGCTTCTTCAGCTCTGACTGGATAGTGGGGAATGGAAAGATTTATATTCCTTGCAGACAGCTGGTCATTTGCATTATTTTACAGAGACATTGAGGCCACCTGGAGGTTTCAGGGTTCTCAGGATCACCTGAGTAATGCAATTGGGTGTGAAAACCTTGGAACTGTTGAAAGGACTGTGTTGTGGATTCAAGATAGATGGTGTCATATCCTTTCCCTTCTATTGAGAGAGGGCTGTTCAATTTTGACATAGATGGCCTCTTTGACCCCTCTTCAAAATCAGCAGTCCTCTCTGTCCAAAATGTGAACTTTGTTGTCTTCAAAAGTGTGGACTTTGTCTTTTAAATACAAATGGACTGCTGAACTTTGTCCTAATGGGTTTGTTCTATGTTGTGCCATACATTTATGAAGTGGTTGTTTTGTTTCCCCAATGTACAGATCTGCACATGGTTTGTGTCTGCATTGTACTGCATATACCACATTGCTCAGTTTGTGTCTGGGAGTTTTATCCTTGGGGTGGACAAACTTCTGCCTTAGTGTATTCTTGAGTTTGAAGTGTGCATGTAAGTTGTGTTAGCTGAAGAACCTCCTGAACTTTTCCGATATTCCTGTAATGTATGGAATTACAACATTGCTTCATTTATTGTTCACTTACAGCTCCTGTAAGGTCTTTTTTGAGATTTGATGAAAGCCCACTTAGGATAGCCACACATTCTGAGGGCTTCCTTGATGTGTTTTAGTTTTTTTTCTTTCCCATCTTTGCTGATAATGTTACCTAGTTTGGTGATGAAACATCTATAAATCAACCACAAAGAGCACCAAGGACCCCACAGTTTAACCCCAAGCTCCAAAAAAAATTCTCTTCTATTGGTAACATATTTTATTAAAAGATATAAGCTTTTGTAAGCTGCAATCCATCAGATGAAAAGGTACAAATCAGCATTTGTGCATATGGTTATTTCAGTTGAACCACAGCTCAAGAAACCAAAAAGATGTAGGCCATTTATTAACTACTGCACAAAGAATGAGCTTCTGTATCATTAAAAAACCTTTCCCTTCCAAATGTAGAACTAACTATAGAACTGGTTGAAAATGCTTGATACAATCATCTGACCCACCAAAAATATATTAAATGGTTGAGAGGCTACCTCCCTTTCTCCAAGACAGTGAGCAAGATTAACATGATATCTCTGAAATGTACAGCAATTTAAACAAGTGAACAACACAGCATTAATCCATATGAGAAATCAGTTGTGAACTGGATGTGAAAATTGGAACTATGGACCAACTTTTTGCAGTCACTAATGTCAATAACCAAATAAAGAATGAATGTCATATGTGCTACATGAATGTTGACTGCATAGTTCCGCCCCCCCCCCGCACCATTCAAATTAAACTAGTGTTGCTTGAAGATAGTTCAATAGATCTAACAATAAATAAACCTCTCACCAATTAGCTCCAAAAATTATTTAATTGCAATGTATTTATAACACACAGACTTAATAATCTTTTTATAAGTATATGTAGATTCTGTACAGCCTAAAAAGGGAACATTGATTTAAATGCTCTGGGCCAAGAGATAAATGCTATTTGAATTTTCCAGCTGAATAATATTAGCTCTTCTGACTTACTTTAATTCAGTATCTCAGTAAGGTGATTATACATTTCTCTACATATGGCTTCTTCATGTATACTGTATCTTCTTCAAATTTTAATTGACACATAAATCTTCCTTATTTGGCTTGCCGGAGATCGCCTAGCATTATTTTGGGTGATCAGGTAGGACGATGTTAATCCTATAGTGGTCTATAATCCAAATTGGTTTTCAGTGACTGAAACTGGGAAATTTCTATCTCATCAGTGTATCTTTGATGGGTTGAAATTCAATATAACTGGCTGGGAAAAACATATTAATACTCAGTGTATAGTGCTATCATTGTGGAGGTAGAGAAAATGTACATGTTCCAGAACAAGTGCAATTTGTGTTGGACAATAAAATTCTTCCTCCCCTAAACTGTTTTTATTTTTACTGAACTTTCTGTATCTGCAAAGGAGAACATAAACTCCATGAATTATTTTGAAATGTTCTATAATCAATATAATTAAAGGAATGATTTTTTTTTTCAGATGGCAGGTTTTGTCTTCCACATATGTCTAACAAATATAATTTTTAGAATTTTAGTACCAAAAAAAATGGAAAGGAAAAGATAAAGAGGAAAGGTGAACTCACTTTTTAAGCAAAGTGTTAAACTTTGACCTTAGGGAAAGCAGTTGATCCATCTGTTCATTTTGTTGATAAAAACCCATAAATTCATAAGCTAAGGGAAAAACTCCTCTATCCAAGATCTATATTATGAATACCAATTTCCTTCCTTTCAAAAAACTGCTTTAAATTTACTACAGTGATCATGTCCCTGGAATTTACTATTCATTCAAAGGATATTCCATTATTAGATTTATATTGGGTCTTTTGCCCAGAAGTTTAAACTATACATATTGGATTCCCCTCCAATTTTCCCCCACAACCACCCCATGAGGTAATTTAAGCCTGAAAGAGACTGACTGGCCTGAAGTCATCCAGTGAGCTGAGGACGGAGTAAAGGTCATTTCAATGCCACCTTAATCACCATTCTACAGGTGAACAGGAACGAGTGTCATCCATACTTCCCAGAATTTACAGCTGCTGTGCAGAACATAAGTCATAATCACTGTCAGAGGAGTTATCCAAAGGGCTGGAAGATCTGTTGGTTGCCCCTTCCAAAGCTGGAACATGGAGGAGGAAAAAACAACAACCCCAACAACCTTCAGCATGGAATCACATTGGCATGAAACACCAATTGGTGCCAATAGGTTACCCCTTCCTATACGATTGAAATATTTGCATCAAAATGATTTCTCTTAGAGCTACAAAAATGGTTAGAGCAACAAAGATGATTAGAAGGCTGGAGGCTAAAACATGAAGAAAGGTTGCAGGAATTGGGTATGTCTAGTCTAATGAAAGGAAGGACTGGGGTGACAGGATAGCAGTGTTCCAGTATTTGAGAGGCTACCACAAAGAAGAAAGTGCAAACTATTTTTCAAAGCAACAAAGACAAGACAAGAAAAAATGGATGGAAACTAATTAAGGAGAGAAGCAACCTAGAACTAAGGAGAGCTGTGCAAAATATAGCAAAAAATAAACTATGAAAAAAATTATTTATGGACACTAGGTGGAGCACAAGGCAAGTTATAGAGAGAGATGCACTCAGAGGATTTTGCTTGAACACAAACCATTGGTTTATCTTTGCCTTATAAAGTTGTCTCCAAGTACAGTCTGATGCCTGGTGACTCAAATCTTTGTCATTTTCTTAGAATGGTACCAAAGTGAATTGCTATTGCCTTTTTTCAGAATGCTTTTCCCAATCTGACTTATAGCCCTGGATTTTCCAAGGGGCAAAATCTATCCAAATATTAGCCAGGTACTGGCATATTGATATTATCCCATAGGCTTAACTGTATATCCACTATGCACAGGTAGTCCTTGTTTAGTAACTGCCTTGTACTGTGACGTGCAGTTGTGATGAAAAAGTAATTTTGTAACCAATCATCACATTTATGATCTTTGCTGGCCTATAAAGGAAAGAAAACTAAAATAAAACGTGAAACACAGTTGCAGTTTCACTTGGGACTGCTTCATTTAAAGACCTAGTTGCTGATTCAATTGTGGTTGGTAAATTAGATCTCTCTCTCTCTCTCTCCCCGCCCCCTCTCTGTCTCCTATCTATCTAATCTGTTCTTTCATAACATCACAAATAGTAACCAAAATTACAGTTCTAATGGCCTTATGGGTTATATAAAACATTTGCTTTCTCTTATCTCTGTCACTGTGATTACTTGTAAGAATCGGAACAAGATTTTATATGGTCCAGGCCAATATTAGCATCAGTGCAGTTTTTGATTTTGTGCAAAAATGGAAAACTACAGATTCGTAATTTGTTCACAAAGAATAATTAGAAACAGAAGATTTGTACTGGCATAATGAGAATTGATTAGTTTACTTCATCTGGATCCATCACAAAATATAAATTATTGAGAAACTGGCCCTCCATTAGGATATTGCTGAAAACACAGGAAAAAATGACACTGAAGACACAGCAAAAGTACATATTGTAGTGCCCTGATCTGATAATCAGTACCTGAATGTAACTTATGAGTCAATTGCCCACAGTAGAGATAAAAATAATATATATTCATAGCCTGATATAAAACTGAACATTACAATGGGTCTTGATGCTCTGTTTAGATCAATGTTTTGGTTGGCACAACTACAAATGATTGCACTCCAATATATGGGGAAAGAAAGAAATCGAACTGGGATGAAGTTATCATCATATTTATTAGATCTACTATCAGGAATGTCCATCTGATCTGTTGTGAGACTAAGATGCCTTGGATCAACATCTTTGGACTAATGGTACAATTTTTAAGAGGTGACACACACTTCTAGTTTAAGCAAGAAAAGGTTACCTGCATAAGGTGAGAGATAAGTTTTCTGGGAAGCTTTGTTTCCCTCTTCCTGAACAACTGGGTTTTCAAGATGTGTCTGGAAGGGAGTAGAGGTCTTGCGATGGAATGAAACTAAAGAAAAACATAAGGTTGCCTTACTTTCTTATATATTGAATCCCGTTCATGTTACCATTTTGTTTCTTTGCTCCAAATCTTCATTCATGCGAGGATATACATTTCCTGGCTTTGTGACCAGTTGAAATTAAAATTATAGTTTGTAGGGGAAAGCAATGCTCTTTAGGACACCTTTTAAAAACAGAGTACATCCGGGAGCCGCCCCATTCAAAAGAGTTTATCCAAAAAAAAAAAAATGTCCATGCTCATGTGCATCCAATGTATTAAGAGCTGTGGTGGTACAGTGGTTAGAATGCAGTACTGCAGGCTACTTCTGCCAGCAGTTCAGCAGTTCGAATCTCACTGGCTCAAGGTTGACTCAGCCTTCAATCCTTCCGAAGTCAGTAAAATGAAGACCCAGATTGTTGGGGCAATATGCTGATTCTGTAAACCACTTAGAGAGAACTCTAAAGCACTATGAAGTGATATATAAGTCTATGTGCTATTGCTACATGCTAATGCCAACCATCATATTCTTAAACAGTTCTAGTTCAACAAAACACATGCTTTTCTGGATCAGCCTTTGAAATCACCATCAACAGCACTGTCAATTCTGTGCACACATCTTTCATTGCAAAAATGTACACAAACCCCACTTCTTTTTAAACTGGAAGTAACTTGCACTTCCATCCCAGGATCAAAAGCACCCTCAGTGGTGTGGAAGAAGAGAATATTTTGAATCTTATGTCCTGGGACTGGGAGAAGGATCTTTCAAATAGGTGCGAAAACATCCTGATTAAGGCCTTTCATTGCTGCTACTCAGTATTCAAAAATTAAAGATCAGGATTACAGTCACATACTTAACATTATGTCCAGTCTGGCTCTTCAAAGGGTTTCTTGGCTGGATATCAGCAAAAGCAGAAGGTCTGCACTGCAGTCTTCATTGGGCTGCCAACCTACTTCCCGCCTCTAGAGGGAGCCAAACCATGTTTTTGGGACAGGGTCTCCCACAATAACTGAACAGAAAAATATTCACACCAACCTACCCATTTATTATTCTACCCACGTGTTTCATTGAAATTGTGATTATGACACTAGATCTCTGTCCATAATCAGAAGAGGCATTTGTGGCATTTACATTAGAATCCTCATGTTTGCCAGGAAACAAATGACATTAGTCTTGCCTGGAATTCTTTAGCAGTTCCTCTCTGCCATATGTTTCGAGTTCAATAATGTTGCATCCACTGCAAAGATAGTGAGACTTTAAAAGGGATGGCTTCTTTTCTTCCTCTCGTGAGGAACCTGAAAGTGAGTGCTTTGGGAGAGGAATTTTGACCAGGACCCAGCGGATCTGTTTTGGAATGTCAACTTTAGTTGTAAAATATATGGCCCAGTCATAAATAACAGAGTGCTATTTAAGAGTACATTTAGAAGAGAATTATCACTCTTCTCACAGAGGCTAGAAATACAGGATGACAGTCGCTTTAAGCAGCCTGTAACTCACAGATATTGGTCAATGTCTTATGAGTCTGACAAATGTGAAGATCTGATTTCTTCTGTCTTGATTTATTGAGGCTTATGGAAGATAAAGTTATACTCATAAAGACTGCATGATTGGGATGGGACAAGTTTGTCTCATCATCCAGCAGGATTGTGCTTTACATTTAATGATGCAGGTGGAGATACTGTAAGATTGCCCATCTACTTTTCCAGATGAGAGGATCACTTTGGGATGGAGGGTGACTATTTAGTTCTTTATTCTTCTTGCCAGGTGGATTAAAAGTCCCACTATCTCAAAGTAAGCAGTGGTTATTCTTGTAACCCCCTCCAAAGTGTGTTGATTGAAAGGTAGGTAGTATGGTTCCTACTTTTCTGAGATCAAATCTTACTAGGATGATATGGTCCACATCATCAACCTGACCACTTATATCCATTTATAATGAGAACATAAAATCTGCATTAGGAAAAGTGTTTATTCAGTGTCCCTGTGTACATTATGAGACATGCAAATGCCTATTCCCTTTGACTTACAGGAGAAATTAGACTGTGGATTCTTGCTCCCTGCTTTGCAGGTGATTTCTTACCATTTTGGTTCATCCCACTTGGGCCAATCCATTGTTGCTGCCTGTTCTTGGAATCTGCAGAGGACGGAAAGAAAGGGACATGGGATTGACGATATAATCAGCTAGAGCTGGGGTCTTCAAACTTGACAGCTTTAAGACTTGTGGGCTTCAACTCCCAGAATTCATCCTCCAGTCATGTTATCTCAGGAATTCTGGGAATTGAAGTCCACAAGTCTTAAACTTGCCAAGTTTGAAGACCCTTGTGCTAGGGCATAAATACACTTCCCCCAAGTTCCAGGAGTATAATCCTTATTAGTTAATAACCATAAGCTTTTAGTGTGTAAAGCATGGAGCATGCATGAAGTGGCATGGGACACCTACAGACACAGGTTCACCGGCCCACCTTTGATTCGGTGGAAGGCAACGCACGGTGGACAAGGAATTTATGGATGAGGTTGCATGGCATCACTCATGTTGAGGAGGATGGAAAGTGGTTACATAATACAATCAAACTACGTGCTTTCCATTCCTGGGTATGCAGGAAGTCTGTTTTTTTCCCCCCAAAGAAGATGTAATAGACTCATTGCCAGTACAATCTAGCTTTTTATATCATTTTAGATAGACTTGCTTTTGACCTCAGTAATGACTTATTAAACAGCTAACTATCACTGCTCAGCATAAATTCATTCAACACTTTGCTGCAGGAACCTTTGTAACCTCCTCTGGATGGCCTTTAAAATTATCTTTTAAACAGCAGTAATCACTTCCAACCCAGACATAATTAAAATAATAGTAAAATACTCTGAAGTGAAATGCTTCTGTTGTAATGCAATATATTAAGGAGTCACTGATATTTTGAAGTGATTAATGGCTGTAATCAGAAAGATCCTGTTTATTTTTTTTGTAGCCCTGTATGCTTGCATGCTAATAAAAAGCATGAGGAATGTTCCCATTCATTGTTGTTAACTATATTCCCCAAAACTGTGATGACTAGAAAGGATTTTATAAAATAATTTGAATGCAGGTTGCATACACAGGCTGTTAATGTTCACAGAAGGATTAGAACATGCATAGTATCCTTCTAGCAATGTTGAAAATAACTGTAATTTCATAATAGAAGAACTATTAATTAGTGCCAGACACTGCTAGGAAATATCTGTACAGCCATCATATTTTTGTGACCTGGTGAGAAACAGGGGAGATGGAAACAATAAATGGAGACAAAATGGGCCCAGCAGTATCCATCTATGGAGTCCCTTTTGCTCTACAAGCTTGATTGTTTGCTTGTAGATGTTTCATTACCCACCTAGGTAACATCATCCCCCCCAAATAATTATGTCATGCAGTGGAGTAATGAAATGTCTGCAAGCAAACTACGAAGCTCAGAGAGTTCACAGTTCAGTCCTGAGCTACATATATTTTCTTTTATTAAGAGTGCATCTAAACACGGAGAGAATCTGATGCAGGGATTTACATCTTTGATATTAATGGGGTTTATTTTCAAGACATTTCGAGATGGTAGAAGGTAAAATTTAAATGAAGGCATATGGACAAAAATACACCATGCAAATTGATGTCATTAGGGTATCTAAAAAAGAAAGGGGTACATGTGCATACGTTTGAGTAGAGAGTGCAATATAGCAAACAGTAGTCCTAGAGTGAAAAGTTACCCAAGCTCTGTAAAGGACCTTGGAATACTCACCTCTAATGATCTAAGTGCTAGAGCCCACTGCAACTACATAGCCAAAAAGGCATTAAGAGTTGTTAACCTAATCCTACGTAGCTTTTTCTCTGGTAATATCACACTACTAACCAGAGCATACAAAACATTTGCTAGACCAATACTCGAATACAGTTCATCAGTCTGGAACCCTCATTACGTATCTGATATTAACACAATTGAGAAAGTCCAGAAATATTTCACAAGAAGAGTTCTCCACTCTTCTACTCGTTGTAGAATACCTTATGCCACCAGACTTGAAATTCTAGAACTAGAAAACCTTGAATTACGCCGTCTTCGGTCTGACTTAAGCATGGTATATAAAATCATACATTGCAATGTCCTACCTGTCAATGAATACTTCAGCTTCAACCATAACAACACAAGAGCACACAATAGATACAAACTCAAAGTAAACCGCACCAAACTTGATTGCAGGAAATACGACTTCAGCAATAGAGTGGTCAATGTCTGGAATACTCTACCCGACTCTGTAGTCTCTTCCCCAAACCCCAAAAACTTTAACCTTAGACTGTCTACTGTTGACCTCACCCCTTTCCTAAGAGGTCTGTAGGGGGCGTGCATAAGCGCACCAACGTGCCTACCGTCCCTGTCCTATTGTTTCTCTTATTCTTTTATTTTTCTTATATGTACCCATTTCATTCACAACTATGTATACACTTATACTTATTATCTTGTAAACAATTGGCAAATCAAATAAATAAATAAATAAAATAAATAAGTGAAATGTGAGAACCAGAAAATTCCTGGTGCAATGGATCAATGGATTTCCTAAGTCAGTTTCTTCAGCCTGAGCTACCAGTTTCTGGAAAAAGCATGTCATCCTGCTTTTTTTCTGGACTTCCACACATTTTTGACATGGTTGTAAGAGCACACACACACACACACACAAACACACAAAACTGAGGCCCAAAACAGACTCTGACAATCTCTTTCTATTAGCAATACAGTCTTACTTACATTTTTTCATAATTTTTTTGTAGATAGGAAGAGCACAGATGATCAGAAGAACAGCAATAAGAACAAGACCAAGCAGGATTCCTAAGACAGTCTCTGAACTGGACTTATGGGACTTCAAAACTTGACCTGGAGAAACAGAAAATCCTATAGATTATGGATTTTTCCATTTCCCAATTTAAGTTGAAAATGTGCTGAAGACTTGATCAGGCTCTCTGGATTATTTGCAGTTCTCTTTGGTTATCAAGATGCTATGAATATAATCATATCTATAGGTTTGTGAGTCAAAAGCTCAGAAAGAATCATCTACCAAACAATGATTTTTGCAGTCTTTTCAGGGTGGCCCAGAAATTATTTAGAAGCCCTCCATTGTCCTTTAAATTCCCAATGCTGACATACTGCTGGCAGTTCTGTTGCGACAGGATTCCCAAAAGGATAACATAGGGTAAATCAACATGGATCAAGTCTCTTTGAAAAGGATTATAGGGCACTCCTTGAGGCACAGAGTGCAATCCATTGCCCCTGCAGAAGTTACATTTCCTGCCATGAAATATTTCCTTGCCCACAAATACAATGTGAGTGACACTGAAATACTGAAAATGCTAATAATTGCAAGCCTCTGTTAAGATGCAAAATGATCAGTAGATGATAACTCATTTCACATGGATACTGGCACTGCAGCTAGATCTGAAAGAACTCTATATCTTCAATAGCAACAAGCTCATTTTCAGAGAAATACTATTGTTTTTAGGTCCTCTCATTCAATATTTCAGCACCAGAATGATTCCCATCCCCCCATCCCACCTCCTTTTTGTATAACTTCATTTTTTTTTCCTTCCAGCATTCAGCCTGGCTGTACAGGAAGAATTCCTGTACTGGAATTATTCCATTATAGGTATCATTTAGATACTATCTACTACATACCATCTGTCACCCATTAGGTTACCTCTGAACATCAATGTTCAGAATACTAGGTTAACAGTTTTCTTGCCTGTATAGTTCAAACCTCCCTTTCCGATTGCTCAAGAAACAAAGAACTAACCTTCATAATATCAGGGGCTTTACTGAGCCTGTAGAATTCTGGATGTTACTGTTTGTACTATGGGAAGAAGTAGACCCATATTTTTTAGAATGTAGTAGATCCAGCATTTCAGGAATAAAACCCCTCTCTTGGAATAAGAGTACAGGGAACTTCTTTTTTAAAAATGGAAACTAGAAAATGTAATCATTCCTCCACAAGCTGCTACAGTTCCAGAATTCTAGTGCGTTACTCAACCACTTCGTACAAAATTGCCATCCCATAATTGCAGTGAAAGACCAATTTTGTGTAATTTAAATGATGAGCACAAATGAAAAGCAGAGCAGGGATTTCCTCTCTCTCCCAGTAAGGTTTTCTCACCTGAACATCTAACTAGTAGGGTTAGGCTTAAGCACTCTTGTGTGTTTCCTGAGCAGTCACCCACACTAAGATTCCTTTTCTCACACTGCAGCTTCTCCCAGTGGTGCAGTGACCTTTCCCTGTTCTGATCCTTGTGTCTTGGATGTACCAGTTTATTCCACCATTTTTGTAAACTCAGGCAAAGCATTTTCTTGTAGGCTTCAACATCTGGCTCCAAAATCCCTAAACACAAGGAGGTTCCTTCTTCAATCTTTATCCTTGGGCGATTTGTGAAAGGTAACATGATCAAGTAATGTAGCAGTAGTATGATTAACAGTACAAACGTCAAACTCAAGGTTTTGTGTTCATATTTTAACTTTTCCAATGAAAACCATAAATACCTCCTTATGAATACTTTAGATACAATACATGAAGTGTAGACAGCTAATATTCTCCAGCTGTTTTGAATATTAACTCTATCAGCATTAGCCAACCTTGTCACAAGGCAGTTTTGTTTTATAGCCTTGAGGAAAATTAACAAAAGTGGGGACAATCAAGATACTTTAATTGAAGAATATATATTTTTTATTCTGAAATGTTTTAAGGGTGGGGACAACTGAGAAAGTTCTACTGCCTCCATGTTGTTGTGAATGATCTAAAAATAACTACTCAAAGTGGTTGGAAGTCAGGTAGCATATAATTTTAAGTCACTATCATCATCAGCAAAGATTTGGGTTTTCCTACCAAAGGGTTTTGAGGAAGTCACCATTGGTGCTGTTGTAGGCTGGAGTGTCGTGGTGGTTTGCACAGGAGCTGAAATGATAAAGATAATCCAAAGCATTTTAGAAAGAAAGATTTCAATCTAAGAGATAAATTTATTTTATTTAGTGTATGGCTATCATACATGGGCTAGCAATCTATATTAAAATTTCACCTAAATTAATAAAACAAGGGATAAAGTTTCTGTAGCACCTCAACTTGTTCTTCAGTACTGAGCTATAATCTTGGCTTCACAACTTGCTAGCAAGTCGAACATTAATTCAGTTATTCATTTTGTCCCTTTCATTATGCCTTAACTAGACTTCAAATTTTTAAAATCATATTGAGATGTATTAATTTGTATCCATTTTTATTTTTCTCTTTTATGAAAAAATTATTATATACAGTATTTTTATTCAGCTTTTCTTTGGGAAATGTTCAAGGTTACCTACGTAAGATACATCTGCATGAGATTTTCATGCCACATCTGAATTAGCTGTGTATCCTGTGGCTTCATTTCTTTTAGGCAGCTGACCCAACTTACTTCAGACTTAACTGGGGGGCAGGATGCACCTCAGAGGAAAACCTGCTTGACAGTTTTGTTCCTCTCCTTCAATAAGAATCCTCAAAGAGACAGTCTGGGTCCCTAATATTGGGTGCATTACCCCTGTCCACCCATGTCTTTTTTTCATGGTGCAAAATAGAAGAAGGACCAGCTGATGTGCTATTTGCCGTCTCTACTCTTTGGCTGTGTATGTATATATAGGAAAGCTGACATCTAGAGCAACCAAATACTGTTTTTAGTATTAATGCTAAATAGTATTTAGTACTAATGCTAATAATAACATGCTACTAATTTAGTACCATGCTAATTGCCCACTATATCATTTCCATTGCTCTGGGAAGCTCTGTGACTTTTTGATATATAAATATATGTTAATGTAGATTGTTGACATCAAGTCCTTTGCCTTTTTATTTCTTGATCATATTTCATTCTCTGTTTTTGCTTTCCTTTTGCTGTGTATTGCCAGTTTACTGTTTTTGAAGGATGCTGAATTTTAAAAAATAAATGTCAAACTATATTTATTATGTGCTAACTGAACTGAGTGGTGTCTATGCTTACTCTGTTCTGGGTATATGGAGTCTGCTGAAAATTACCCATACTTAATATCTTTTCTTTCTATCCTTTCTGTGTGGAGTGGAACCATGAGGATTTTTATGGCCACAAGACCCGAAGCAACACATTATGAGGTTGTGATTTGTTTGCTTCCTACCCCCAGTGCTCTGATGCTGGGAAACTGCAAAAAAAAAAAACAAAAAAAAAACCCCGCCCCCCCCCCAAGCCTCAGATCCTCTTCCAAATGTTTTTGAAGGATCAAGGAAGGGAAGCAGTGCCAGTGTGGCAGTGCTCACAGCCTCTTGCCCAAGGCACATAATGCAGTAACCTTCCTGAAGTTAGGCAGAGCAGCTGTTCAAGATTCTTACACTGAATTCCTAAGACATAGGCAAGATCCACATACGGTCCTCTATGACTGGTTTCCAATTCAACTAGATCACAACATCAGTTTCCCAGCGGCTGTCCCCATGTGACCCAGATTTTGTTCAAAGAGAGCATGCAAATAGGAAGGGGGTTGGTTGCACATACCTTGACAAACTAGGAACACACCTAGAGAGACGGAATCATGGGAATCACAGGCTATGCAGTCCTTGAGAGCTGTCTCATTCCTTTGGCAGGTCATCAAGCAAGTCTCGTGCTTCTCCGAGTCTTCAACATATGGTTGCAAGATCCCGAAGGGTAAGTGGCAACCAAGTTCTCTGCAGGCAAGTTCTGCATTCTGCTGTGTAAAATTTCTGCTGTCAATCCTCTTCCACGTGGCTGCATGAAGCACCTCCAGCCACCCGGAACATCTGTAGCCTGTACCATTAAGCCTCAAATCCATCTCTGGATAGGAAAAAAAAGGTATTATTGAGACCCCGGCAGATATATTGCAGTTTCCCCTCTTCCTTTCAGCACTGCTGGGACCGCATGTGTATGAAGTGATTGCTTTGCTTTACACTCGGTAAGATTTGTGGACCAATTATGATTTATTTATTAAACCATGGTTAAACATGGCTAGGCAGTGTAAATGGGATTTCATAGTCCCTAACATTATACATCTTATGCCTTTCCTTATTATGAAAACATGACAAGAAAAGGTGCCTACAGTATTCAATATTTAAGAGGAGCTGGGCTTCACAACCATCAGTAAAAATGAAAAAGGAAACATTATTTGTCTTGAAAAAGACATACCTACTTGCTTTTTTTCCTTTCAGACAAAATGAAATCTGAACTGAGATTTGCCACAAGCTTACCAATCAACATATTTTCCCCATACTTTCATGACAATTAGATCCAAGAGAAGCTTATGCATATTTACATAAGATAATTCCCACTGGGCTCAGACTTGCTCCTTAATCAGGGTTGGCATTTTGGTGCCTGAGGCAAAAAAAAAAAAATGGCGCTCCCTCCTCATTCTACACAGAGATGCTACAAAATTAGTAAATTTTATTCTATGCCTGGATCAGGGATGGGTTTCTACCGGTTCTGTCCACCTCTGTAGAACCGGTAGCTCTGAGGAGCAGCAGACATAGAACCGGTTCTATGTCTGCTGATGTTTTTGCTCACCCTCCCACCCAGGCTCTTACCTGTCCTTTATTTCCTGATTTTTTCAACTTCAGCTGCCATGCGAGGCACAGCTGCAGTTTAAAAAGCAGGAAAAAAGGGCTTTTTGAAAGGCTGCTTCTCTGCACGCAGCATGCTGATGACGATTTACAGGCATGCCACAGGCAGCGTGCAGGGAAGCACATCGTAAATCACCGAGCCTCGTAAGTGACCGAACTGGTGGTTACTCCTGTTGGATCCCACCCCTGGCCTGGATAGCTTAAGGGGCTTAAGAAAGAGACATAAGATAGGCCTTGTGACATAAATAGTATTTTCCTCTAGAGAAGTAGATGCTGGAAGGTGCTAACAGACTTTCAATCAACCACCACTGTTTTTGTGAGAAGTAAGAAAGATGACCTTGATGGAGATATGAAAGATCTGTCACCCAGGATCTTGCCTTACTCTCTACAGTTTCTCTTGTTCTGCTGCCATATGTGATATACTTCCTTTAGCTCAGAGGAAAGAGCTAGAGGAACAGGCTCTGTCCTGACTCTAAAACTGAACCTGGTGATAAAGTAGATTACTAACCTTCAGGACTTCTACCGTGTCCACTATTACAAGTGACTACTGGGAAAAAAAAGTAATATAAAATTTAAAAAGTAGAACTGAAATAGGCTGAAGACAAGAGTGTGCTAACCAGTATGCATGTTGCTTTGAAGGTGGCATGTATGCATATAAGCATTTGCATTCAGCTTAACTCTATAAGTTCAGAGTATTTTACAATCCTAAAGCACAACAAAGAAACATACAAAATGCAACAAGAAAACTTTGCCTTTAAAATTATGACAAATATTCGTGCAAAGTGGTTTTTCTGTTTATTATTACTTCCAGACTTAATTCTAACCTTGTCATAAGCATCTTGCTAAAATAGAATTAAAAAAGAAATGTCCAATAATGCCATGTCACTGGCTAAGTTCTTTTTTTAACAGTAATTTTATTAAAGATTGCAATTACAAAAAAACTGCTACAAATCTAAAAAAAAAAGATTAAAGAGAAAAAAATCAAAGGTGGAGAAAAGAAAGGAAAAATAGAAAAATAGAAAGAAAAATAGGAAGGAAAAATAAGACTATAATAAAGAAAAAGAAAAAGTATATAGAGAAGTGACTTAGCTTTTATCACAATGCACAAACAATTTTAGTAACTTATCACCTTCTTTTAAATACAACAAATGATCGCTTCTTTCATATCCCATTTCTTGTCTCTAAATTAATGCTTAAAGCTTCATTATTTCAGTCCTGATGTTGGCAAAAGTGCGTTAAGGGTTGCAACAGATAACAAACTCTATTTTAACTTGGTTAAATAAATTAATTTTGTATTCCTTCCCTTTACTTATAACAATTTTGATCTTTAGTCCCTTCAAATAATTTTCCAGTACGGTACTTGATTTCTTTTCACTTTTTCTTTGTCCCTTTTCACTCAAATTCTTCAAAGCTTTAACAAGTCTCCTTTGCAAATCTAATGTAGGAAAGTTATCCAGATCACCCTCTTACTTTGTTATTTGCATATCCCTTTTAATTATTAAAGTATCAGTCAGTTTGTTTTGTACGTCCAGTGTAACATATTTTTCCATCTCAAATTGAAGCCTGCAATTTAAAATCCATTTCCAAAGCATTCTCAATCTTGTCAGATAAAACTTGTTCGTCTTTCATGACATCTATTAGACATGGGCTGTCTATAGAGGTAGACATTCTTAAAATTAACTTTTGGATTCATTGTTCAAAAATATCCTTTAGTATGTTCAATGTTACAATATTCGGCTTCAATTTGTAATTGTGAATTGAGTTTGAGTGTTCTTCTCCTTTAATTATAATCTTTAATCTACTTCCCTCAAGTGTCCACAATTTTTAATGTCTTATATTATGGATAACCCTTGCTTAATGGCCATTAGTTTAGCAACCATTCAAAATTATGATGGCATTGAAAAAAGTGACATGATCAGTCCTTGCACTTATTTGGTAGAGTCCCCATGATCACATTATCATGATTCAGGTGCTTGGCACCTGTTGTGCATTTATAATGGTCACAACATCCTGTGATCATATGATCATTAAAAACCAGCAGGGAAGGTCTCAAGTCACAGTCACATGATATTTTGCTTAATGGCCATGATGATTTTCTTAATCACTGTGATGTAAAAGGTCATAATATTGGGTGGGTCATGTAATGCCTCACTTAATGGCTATACCATTTAACGATGAATTTTCCAGTCCAATTGTGGTTGCAAGTTGACTACCTGTATTACATTTTTGAAAAGGAATTTTTTTCAAAAAAAAAAAAATCCCATGGGAAGGGATCTTTATAATTAATTCCAGCACTTTATTTCAAATGATCCATTAGTAACTTTCTAAAATCAAAGTTTTAATTGCCTTTTTGCTATTTATTGCATTTTAAAATGTCCTTAATTTTGTATTTCTTTCATTAAGAATTGAAGAAAACTCACCTGGCACTATAAAATGTGTTGATCCAAAGGTTTCTAATAGCTGGGAAGCAAATGACAAGCAATTTCCAAAAATGATTAAAAAAAGAAATTATGTGGACAGTGTCCTTTCAAAGGGACCAACCATAATTTGAGCAAGAGGGCTATTCCCTTGATTTCCCAGTGCTAAAAACCCACTAGAGACTATTATCTTGCGGTCTCATCATCTAGGGCAGCTGTCTGGAGCACTAGTGGGATATCTCAAGTCCTCTCTTGTCCAGAGAGGAATTATTAAAGAGCCAGTCCACTCACTAGCTCTTTAGTCTGTCATTGGCTACACTTTTTGCCATTTCCTCCCCAGAACATCACTGGCTAAATTCCAAGTTCTACTGAATGTGTCCATCCAGGCCAAATCCATCCAGAGCTTACCCCACATATTATAAAATGAATGTAACTTCCTGAAAGCTGTGGTACTACCTTTCTAAGGCTCTGTTGTAACATGATGATTGAAAGAGCCCATTCCCAAAGCAGTTCACTCACTGCTTTGCTTCATAATAGCTCTATTAATATGCTTTCTTCTAATCCTGGAATTGACATAAAAATATATTAGCAAGAATTGTACTGTCTTGGCAATTGAATTCTATTCTGTTTGAGTAAAGAGGCTGGCAAATGGCCCTGTCCTTAATTTTTAATGCAGTACAATTTAAGGGCAGTAGTTAGTTGGAACCACTCAGCTTGGTTTATACTTCTGTCCACATCACCTCCCAGTGGAAAATGCATCCAGCAATCACTCTCCTTAATGTGTGGCAGGGGGTAGTTGGGTGAATGCAAGTACCGGTAGAAGGCTGGACCAATTACTTATCCATCTTTCAAATTGCCTTTATGGCCATTCCTTGTCAATCTCTTCTGAATATGACTCTGGTACATTTTTGAAAGAAGATTAATGTGTCCTTTGTGCAAAAATGACCCAGTAGATAGATCACAGGCGTGGCAGAATATGCAGAATAAAAAAGCAAAGAGCTCTCCTAGTATATCAGGTGGTTCCTTCAATATTCTGCTCTATTTAACTATGAGCAATAAAGATCTCTTCAAACGTCCAAGTACTTCTTGTTCCCCGAGTTTGCAATATAGGAAGTTATGGAGGTGACCAACAAGAAAGTACCCCAAACTGTCTAGTCTTCTTGTAGAATCTGTTTCCTGTTCTGGACAGCATTCTAGGACAGTCTCAAAGAGCTTGACACCAGATCACACTTATGGAGAAAAGGTTGGGTGGAGCAGGCGGTATAGGAGACATCTCCTCCTCCAGCATCACTCCTTCATCTTATTAACTCCTAAGGACCAATAAAAATGCTATAAAAGAAATGTGTCTCCATGAAATTCTTCAACACTGGGTCTATTGTTTGTCTATTGACATGCAGAATTGCACTTCTGGAATTATATGCAGTATTTATTTCCATTAACAGGAATGAGTATGTGTAACAATGGTATTACTGAATGTTTCTATTTTATGGTTTACTGCAAGTAAGGGACCAAGCGTGTGCTTGTAATAAATGGCCAATGACTGCAGTTGTGACCTTACAGCCACAGCCACTCAGAATTATGCAAAATAATGTGGGAGTAGCTCAAATCCCTACCTCATTAAATAAAGATATTTTTAAAACATGGCCACGTAAAGCTTAATGCTGACAAAAGCTGTGGAAATTGCACATATCTATGAAAGGGCTAACAAAAAATGCTGGCAGAACCTAGCTCTCTTTTCTATTAAATTGGTCTTCTTCGCAGTATAGGACTAGTGCTGTCTAGCACTGTCTTTTGTCAGAGCCTCCTTTTAAAACACAAATCTAATGCTTTTCAAAAGAAAGCTATAGTAAACCCTTGTATATAATCAGTCCACATTCTGCCTGAATCATGGTTTGTAAGGAAGCAGTGGGCAGGTATCTCTTTGGATACCAGGTTCTGTAGTCCAACACAAAATGGCCATGGAGGGCAGTACTAGCAACTTGAGAGGAAGGGTATGCCTGCAGAAGCCTAAAGTGGCCAATAGGATCTTACCTTCTAACTGGCATCATAGATCATGTTCATCACATAGAATATTGGAGGGGAAAATGGGAATACTACTTTAAAACTGGAGCAGCTAAGTACGACTTTAAGCTGCCTCACTTATAGTTTGGAATGAGATAAAGCAGTGTTTCTCAAGCTTGGCAGCTTGAAAGATGTGTGGACTTTAACTCCCAGAATTCCCCAAACAGATGAGATACACTGAGATAAAGGGAACAATAGGAAGACTAGAGAGATAAGATGATGAGGCGTGTAGGTGAGATCCGAAAAGCCACACCTGCTAAGATTAGTTCTGCGCACATAGGGGAAATTCACAGATCTATCCAAAATTGCAACACTTTTGCACTTTGCTAAAGCTAGCCTGAAATATTTTGCTGCCTGGACCAAAGATCAGAGATTCTTGACTGAGAGTTGATTTTAAAAAAATGGATTTTGGTCCTACTACACCTGAAGGTAGCAAGTGAGCTTAGGGAGTTTAGGACACGTGCTATACTGCACTCTCCTTCAAAACTTTATTGCCTTGCGGCATCCACTACTGCAGTTTGCACTCTATGTAATAATAGGATCGGTCCTTGCACACTGCTTTGGAAGATGTACCTATTTGAAAGAGTATGTTTTCAGGGAATGTGAGGATCTACATGTCTATGGAGATTCTCAATCATCCAGCCATGGTGTCCCAAAGTGCTTTTTCAGGAGGCAACTGGACTTTCTTGTTTTTCTTTGAAGACATTACGATTCTCATCCAAGAAGTTTCTTCAGTTCTGACTGGGAATGGAAGGATTTATATTCTTTCCAGACAGCTGGCCATTTGTATTCTTTTAGAGAGACGTTGAGGCCACTTCACTATCACCAGAGTAGTGCAAATGTGTGTGGAATCTTCTTGGCTGCAAGTTGTTTTCTGTCCTGTGTCCCTTCACTGTTAAAGACAGGCACAGGCTGTTGGGGATGAGTCTGTGTTGTCTGCATCTCAAACTGAAGTGCAAATGGTTCCCATAGTCTGCATTTTTTCTGAGGATCTACAGTGAAAAATCCTAGGGGTATATGCTTTGGCTGATACACGGCAATGTGTGAAAGTATGTAAATCTGCCCTTTG